TTTATCATCTGGTTTTGTGTATTTTCCAGTAGAGGTGTGCCATATCATCTCATTCAGGATAATATCAGTATAATTTTTGATATGATATTAAATATTCATATAGTGATACTCGCAATATTTCAACTTGTTGACATGTTGACCTCATTCTGTTATACATGGATTTCTCATGTTGTGTTCACACCTGCGCGAATTAAATAATTCACTCGAGTGAATTGCAGGTAAAGTCAATGTAAGGACGTGATTAGACGCAGACTCCAGCAGGGCAGCACGATGCACATGACACAAAATATGCAAATTAAACAGCTTGAATGCAGCAAATAGTGTGATTTCACATCATGAGCTTTTTCGTGAGAGTTGAAAAATCTGAACTTCAGTGACAGTTTTGTGCCGCGGTAGCCAATCAGCATTGAGATCCTCCGGGGATGTGTAATGCCAAGGATTTACCGGCGGAAGTTTACTCAGCGAGTCAGCAATTTCACACGCACATAATGCCAGTCAACACAAATCACCTGTTGATTTATATATATATATATATATCTAATTCATTCTCTCAGGTGAAGGTGCTGCAGCTGGAGACTCAGCTGGACCAGGAGCGAGTCCGTCTGGGGGAGCTGAGGAAGAGGCACTACGATCTGGGCGCCTCTGGGGATCTTCCTGACGCCGAGGACGGAGCCGATAGCTTCCCACCGCCGCCGCCGCCCACTCTGCTGGACTCCACACCAGTACCTCAGTCCTTCTCACAGACACAGCCGTACCTGAACACACCGAGCCTCGCACCAAGCAACCCGTTCGCTCCGGCTCAAACTCAGCCTGCATCGTACACACCAACAAGCACGTACACACCTTCTCAAACCTACACCCCGTCTCAACCTTCCACCCTTTCTCAAACATACACACCTTCTCAAACCTACACCCCATCCACCCTTTCTCAGACATATACACCTCCACAAGTCTACACCCCTCCTCAGAGCTACACACCCTCCTCCCAGGCTTTCATCCCAACCCAGCCGTACACACCATCTCAGCCCTACATACCAACCCCATCCCAAACCTACCTGAACCCTCAGTCTTACTCGCTGTCAACGCCCACAACACAAAGCTCCTCCCGGCCTCAGTCTCCGTCTCTGTCTCGGGCGACCCCTCAGAACAACACCGAGACCACCAAACCAGCCTCGAGGAAACCCAATATCTTTACCAAATCTGGAAACCTGCTGAAGAATGCGGTAAGTGCTTGAGACCCGTCTGCTAGAGAAGCATGTTCTCACTCCCAACTCGTCATGTATGGCAGCTTGTTCTTATTTTGCTGTTTCCTGTGAACGTGGAAGCTTATTTTGAAAACACAGTGTTTGCATTTAACAAGCAGACAGCAGGGAAGGTAGAGAGTTGTAGTGGCAGCTGACCAAGCTGACGAGTTGGGAGTGAGAACGTGTCGGCCAGAGCTGGATGATCATCATAAACTGTGTGCCTAATAAGAGGATGATTTCAGAGGATGCTGTATTAATGAGTCTTTTTTTAATTACAGTTCAAACGTGGTGAAACTGGATCAGGAGAGTCCTGAAGCCTGACTGAAGAAGAATCATTTTACTTAACAATCACTGGAAATATGATTTCAATTTTATCTCTGACTCTGTAAAAACAAAATTAGAGGAGCTTAAACTCAAAATCACTGTCAGTTAAATGTGCAAATTATATTAATATTATCCATCTTATTTTTGTAATTATACCAAAGCCTATATTATGTTACTGTATATCAAGTTGATTTATTAAAGGTGATAAAATAATCTGAGGCTGAATGTAGCTGTGTGTTTGCTCTGTGTCCCATAATCCACAGATCATAAACTCACTGAGTTATGAGTCACGGTGTGAGATAGACTGATGAAGCCACAGTGTGTAAATCTTTAAGTCTCATTCAGGACAAGATGAGTCACATTGGGGTTAAACTCCTGAAACACTTTGCTGCACAAATGTCTTTTCATTGTATATTGTTCAGCCTTCTTCGGTAGAACAGAGGGACCAAGACGAACAAAGGATGTGGCTCCAGAAGCTTTGTTTCCTTCCTTACTCCCTACTTTCCTTCCTTCTTTACTCTTCACTTCCGTTCTTTCTGTACTCCACCCCCCACTTCTTTACTTCCCTCCTGATATGTGTTAAAATATCTTCAGGACAGGTGTTGAATAACAAGATGATATAAGGCCTACAGGACTTTGGTTTGTCCCTGGCATGGACGGATTATGAGACAGTGGGCACAGATATTCAAAAGTCCCCACCACCTCTCCAACACCGGAGCAAGACACACAGACTTTGTGGTGGTTTTGCATCTCTTCGTGGTCATCTTTTTGTGGTTTTGTGTCTCCCTGTGGTTGTTTTTTTGTCATTTTATAGTCGGTTGTGTCTCTTTGAGGTCATTGTATGTCTCTTTGTAGTCTTTTTGTCTGTCTTCTTGGTTGTTTTGCCCATTTTTAAAGTCTTTTTTTTTGTCTCCTTGAGGTTATTTTGTGTCATCTTATAGTTGTTAGGGTCTTTTTGAGGTAATTGTGTGTCTCTTTGTGTCTCTTTATGGTTGTTTCGCCCATTTTTGTAGTTATTGCCCATCTCTTTGCAGTTCTTTTGCATCTCTTTGTGGTCATTTTGAGTCTCTTTCCAGTCAGTACTTGAGTGACATTTTGCAGGCAAAGGGCCCGAAGTCTTCCTGACATTCGGGCTCTTGCGCCTGTGCCCTTTAGGCCTGTTCAACAGTCCATCCATAGTCAGTGGTGGAGTGTAACTACAAGTACATTTACTCAAGTACTATACTTTAGTTGAATATTTCCATTTTATGCAACCTTGTACTGTACAACATCCCAGAGGTGCGTACTATAATTTCTACTGCACTTCATTTGTCCAACAGCTGTGGTTACCTTGCAGATTACAATGAGTATCTGCAGATGTGTCGATGTTGGATGTTTGTGATCAGCTGAACTGAAGGATGAAGCGTTTCTTTATGTGTTAAGAAAATTCACGAATCACCTGGAAAATGCATTATTACAGCTGACAACAGGACAATCAAGACTTAAAGTGAGAACAACTTCAAATGCAGCAGTAACATTAATTCAAAAACATCAGATATAAAAGTAAAACACTGACAGGGAACATTTTACTGCACAGTCAATACCTTTAATTGAATGCTTCAAGTCCATTTTGCTTATAAAAACGTAACCAATGTTTTAATTGCAGGGCTTTTACTAGCAGCGGAGTATTCTCACATTAACTGAAGTAAAGGATCTGAATATTAACCAGTGAACGTCTCTTCATGCTGTATTATATTCTCACAGCGACCTCATCTGTCTATTATTTCTGTCATGCGCAATACAAACTGCAAGCTCACCACCATGGAAGCGGCCACTGTAGACTCCCGGAGGGACCAGAGTGCAGCTGCGTCAAGTTACAACAAGATGAAATGGAAACATACCGGAATTAGATATCCTCACCTTCAAAATAAAAGCACTATTCCGCACTGCTCCCTTAAAGTATAACTTCTGAAATCATGTATTTACCCTCTAAATCCATATTATTTTTATTCACAATTAATGTTTAAGTTCCATATTTTAAAAGTAAAAATGACAAAGTGCCATAAATACAAATGAATAAATAAAATAAACCACCAGTTACACAGAATAAGTTAAATAAACTGGCTACTTAAAAAGCTAATCAATTAAATGTTGTTGTAACTTTCCTCAGAATCAGAATCAGAAATACTTTATTGATCCCTGAGGGGAAATTATTTAATAAAAAAATGTAATTATTTACTCATGTGGAATTTTACTGTAATGTACACATTTAAGTGCTCTCACTATAATGTACATTACCTTACTGTGACAATTAAGCACACACAAATGTTTGCATTTTAGGAAACTGTACAGATCAGACAATAAAAATAAGTGAACATTAACATTTATGGCCATTTGATTATTAGCCCAGAGATCCAGAAACCAACAAGTGCTCCTATGCTGGAAGAACCAACCTGGCCTCATCTGTATTTAAGAATATACACTATGGTATGTGCACAATCTAAACTGAAGTCATGCGTTTAAGGCTAGATATTGATCCAACATAAGGTCATAATGTAGGACCCACCTAGGGGCCTACCACTGAGGTTACTGAGGTCTTTTTTGTTTTGTTTTGTTTTTTCGTTCAGGAAATATGGATTAGGTTTCAGCTAATTGCTATATAAGATGAGCCCAGTACTTTTTGGACTACTTATCTATATGCATATTTTGTGTCAATAATCCAAATCTGTAGAGGTCAGAAACCAAGAAGCTTGGGAACCACTGGTTTAATCTAATGCAAAGAGTAGCGTTTAAATATAGAATAGAGGAAAATTGTAAAAGATATATAAGAAAATACAAGTCTATACAAATATGTACAATATATGAACAAAAAAGAAAGAAACTGTGCAGTTTTTAGAAGTTGTAGTTAAGTACCGGAATGTGCAAATCTTGGAACAATGTAAGAAAAACAGTATAAAAATGTGTTAAATTAAAGCTACATAAAGTAGTAATCTAGGCTTGAATAGCATTAAATGGAAATACCATAAATGAAGTACATGTACCTTAAAATTATGCTTCAGTACAGTAAATGCACATGGTAGGTTTACAGCACTGGCGACAAATAATTCCATTAAATCTTGAAAATTTGAATAATACAGACATTGTTGAACTCATTCATCAAGCTATTTTTATTTTATTCTAATTAATTTCTATTTCAGTTTCAACAACTTACAGTCATATTCGTTTGCCTCCAGTTTTTTTAAATATATTATTTCCACTGTATCCACAAGGTTAATAGATAATTTAATATCTAAATATTCATTATTATTTTATTGTTATCATTATTAATATTAACATTAATATTATTAATAATAATAAAACAAAAAATAATATAAAAAAATACTTGAAAAACAGCGGTAATCTGGTTTTATTTTGAAAGGCCTACCCGGACGTTGTCTGTTCCAAAATGGCGGACTTGACGCTGGTGGTCAGTCTGGAGCTACAGCGATGGGCCACAGTCGATATTTATCCCAAACAAATCAAACTAACGCCCGGGCTGAGCCGTTAGTGATGGATAAACCATAGTTCCGGTGGTTTATCCGGGTTTACGGTGTATTTGTCGGTAGTTTATGAAGCGAACGCGGTAGAGTTTAGCTAACTTAGCTGAATTGTTCTTCCAGAGGGAGGAAGTTTGCGGTGGCGGAGGAAACATTAGAGGAAACCGGGGAGGGCCGAACTATCCCGTCATGGAGGACTCCGGGTCGGCGGCCCTGGAGAAGAATGTCGCTGACCTCACGGTGATGGACGTGTACGACATCGCCGCGGTGGTGGGGCAGGAGTTTGAGCGGATCATAGACCAGTACGGCTGCGAGGCTCTGTCCAGGCTCATGCCCAAAGTGGTCCGGGTCCTGGAGATCCTGGAGGTGATGGTGAGCCGCAACAGCATCGGGCCGGAGACCGAGGAGCTGCGGCTGGAGCTGGACAAGCTGCGGCTGGAGCGGATAGACCGGCTGGAGAAGGAGAAGAAGCACAGAAAGGTGTCACAGTGCGCAATGACAGGCCCTGTCACTCAGTGGTACACTCATTAAAGCTGTGCATCTAGATTATATCTGCAAATTATATCTAAATCTGATGGTGACAGGCTGTTAATAAACAAATAAACAAACCAAATGTTACAGGGCCCCTAATAACCTGAGGTAGATAAAGTAACAGTATTCACATTCTTTACTCAAATTAACAAAATACTCCAAAAATATGACAGTCTTTCATAGGAAATAGCACCAACACCATTATAACGATATTGTATGACAGACCCTCAATAGAGGTAACAGTGCCACGGTAAAGATACTGCATTACAAGTAGAATTCCTTAATTGAAAGTATTACTTTAGTAAAAGTACCTTCACCATTGTAGAACTACTCCATTACAGGTCTTCTATTCACAATGTTGTTTAGTTAAAGGAACCAAAACCACTGTAAAACAAGCAAATGTCCTGAATTGAAAATGTAACTTAAGTTAAAGTACCAGTACTGCTGTTAAAATCCTCTATTACAAGTAAAAGAAACTAAAAATACTCCATTACAAGTCCTCAGTTGACAGTGTTACACAGGTAAAAGTACCAGTGCCACTGTTACAATAGTCTATTACAAATAGTATTCCTGAATTGAAAATGTAACTTAAGTAAAAGTATCTGCACCACTGCAAAAGTACTCCATTACAAATCCTCGATTGACAACAATGCTGAGGTGAAAGCACCAGAACCACTGAGAAAAACTCCATCACAGGTTCTCATTTAACACTGTTACAAAGGTAATAGCACCAGTATCACTGTAGAAATACTCTATTACAGGTCCTCAATAGACAGTGTCACAGGTAACAGTACTCGTGTCACTGAAAAATACTGCATTACAAGTAGAAGTCCTCAATTAAAAATGTCACTGAAGTAAAAGTACCTGCACCATTGTAAAAATACTCCATTACAGGTCCTCGATTGACAATGTTGCTTCGTTAAAAGCACCAGTACCCACTGTTAAAATCCTCCATTACAAGTAAAAGTAACTATAAAATACCCCATTACAAGTCCTCAGTTGACAAAGTTACATAGGTAAAATATTGTATTACAGGTCCTCAATAGACAGTGCTACAGGTAAAAGTGCCAGTGCCACTGAAAAAAGTACTGTATTACAAGTAGAGTTCTTTAATTGAAAATATTACTCAAGTAAAAGTACCTGCACCATTGAAAAAATACTCTATTACAGGTCTTTGATTGACAACATTGCTGAGGTATCAGTACCAGAACCACTGAAAAAAATACTCCATTACAAGTAAAAGTCCAAAATTGAAAACATTACTCAAGTAAAAGTACCAGTACCACCTTTAAAATACTCCATTACGAGTCCTCAGTTGACAATGTTACACGGGGAAAAAGTCACTACCTCTTTAAAAATATTGTCTTTCAAGTAAATGTCCGTCACTGAAAATTTTACTTTAGTAAAAGTACAAATACCACTGAAAAAATATGCCATTATAGGTCCTTAACTGACAGCGTTACTTGTAAAAGTACCAGTACTACTGTAAAAATACTCCATTAGAAATAAAATTCAGAAACTGAAAATGTTACTAAAGTAAAACTACCAGTGTCACCTTTAAAATCCTCCGTTGACAATTTTACACAGGCATAGTATCAGTACCATTGTAAAAATACTGTATTACAAGTAAAAGTACAAAATTAGAAAAGGTTACTTAAGTAAAAGTACCAGTACCACCTTTAAAATACTCCATTATGAGTCCTCAGTTGACAGTGTTAGACAGGTAGAAGTCAGTACCTCTGTAAAAATACTCCATTACAAGTTAATGTGTGTGACTGAAAATGTTACTTGTAAAAGTACAAGTACCACTGAAAAAATACTGCATTACAAGCACAAGATTAGATTCTGGTTCCTGTTTGTTTGGCTGCAGCTGATGACGGCTGATGGGAACTGTGTCCCTGACTCAACAGGAAACTCTTCACTCTGCAGTTATATCGGTCAAATGTGTGATTTTTTCCAATTAGTCATCAAAGTCTCTTCAATAGAAATAAATATCTCACAGAGATCTGAAACATGAGCTGCAACAATTAATCGATTAATAAAGTAGTTGATTGACAGGAAATTAATTGGCAAGTCATCAAATATTTGTTTATTTAATTTATTTTTTATTTTATTATTATTATTATTATTGTTATATTTTTTAAAAAGCCAAACATTTATTTGTCATATATAATATAAATTAAACAGCTTTGGATTTTTGTACTGCTGGTCAGATGAAATATGACATAATGAGCAGGTTAATCAGATTGCAGCCTTTGTATTTTGTAAACTTATCGACTATTATTTAAATGTAAAATCTTAATCTGAAAATAAACTTACAGTAAGATGCAGTTGAGTATAAGTATTAAGTGTTATACAATGAAAATATTTAGGTGAAGTATAAGTACATCAGACTTGTAGATCACTGTAAACTCAGTGTTGAGTATCACAGACACACTGTGGGAATACTGAGGTATACAACACACAGTCACAGCTCAGAGTCAGTCGCTCCACGCTATAAAAAGTTGATATGTAAGTTTCTCGTGACGGTGAGTGAGCCGCGCTGTTCACTGATTAACTGTGTCTCATGAGTGTGATAAAGTGGATGTCTCTGGAGGTGACGGCTGATTCCACCGTGACTGAGACGGCACAGTCAGCTTATATGATTTCCACATGGACAATGTCACACCTACAGCACAAATACACAAAAGTAAACACACTCCTACACAGTGTGCAGCGTCCAATAAAGAATAATAATTAGATCAAGAGCAGACATTAGAATTGGAAAAATAAATAAAAATTCACGGATTTAAATTTACAGATGTACTAGAGGTGCAACTAATGATGATTTTTATTTACACTGTAGCTGCTCACAGCCCAAGATGACATCGTCAGATTTCTTTTCTTGGCAAAGCATCAGTCCAAAACCCAAAGATAGTCAATTTATTATCATGTATGACAAAGAAAAGCATCAAATCTCAGTTTTGAGAGGCTGTAAACATACAAATTTTAAATGATCATATCAGCTTGAGATTAATTTTCTGTCATGAATTATGTAACGTGAGTATTAAAATACTAAAGTAGCTGTATTGTGTACATTTTCTTATCTACGATATTGGACGGGAAATCTCTCTTTTATTTTAGTTATTTTCAAAGGCAAAACTTTTGACACAAACTTTCATTAACAAAATGGTTTCAAGTTTCAATTATAGTAATAAAACGTTTGTTCAACCAAAAATAACCCGTCCGTTTTCAGTCCTTTAAGGCAGTGATTCCCAACTTCTGGATTGCAGTCCAAAAGTGGGTCACGGGTGTTTTCTGAGTGAACCCCAGGTGACTCGTGAACATGTCAAGTTTGTAAAAAAAAAAACATACTTTATTTTGAAGTACAGTAATTTTCCAGCACAGAGGTTTTACTTTGACGTGCTGTAGAGCGAGTGACTAGCGGACAGCTACTTGACAGGGACAGCAAACTAGCTTGACAACATGGCCGAAAGCAAGTACGACACTGAATGTATTAAACTGTGTGGACCTTGAACTGATGACGAAGGAGGAATCTGGACTTGTGGCTGCACCAGTTGGGAACTACTGCTTTAAGGGTCATCCTGACTGTTCATAATATAAATTCTTTAATACCATGATATATTATACCGAGACGGTTATCGCACATTGAAAATTTTATTTTGACATTCCCATTGCACACCTGTGTCCCTATTGTCATCCAAGCACACCTCCTTCACAAACATTTAAACAGAGCCAGCAGCCTAGCGCCTAGCGCCACGCAGACAATGAAGAGCAGCCAAGAAAAAGACAATAAAGATATTTACTGATGGCATTGCATATCGATCGCAGGCCCCTGAATTGAACTGAATTGAAATCGTAGTGTGGCAGGCTTCATGGCATCAGCAAATATATTGTTTTCCAAAGAATCAATATAACATTGTATCATGATGAAAGTTTGTGATATCAAATCGTGATTCACACCACTCATAATGTAAACTGTACAAAAACATTTTGTAGGGTGGTGCCAAGGATTCATTTTCACAAATTATGTACATAATTTATATTATAGCTAACAGTTTGAAAGTACTGCACAGTATGTAGAGCTAATACAAGTTGTTGAGTGACAGAAAATGAAAGTCTAACTATTTTGATAACTGACTGATTGTCATTCGTGAAGCTTAAATGTTGGTCTTTTTTATGAAACCAAAAAAGAAGGGATTTACTTAGGAACTAGGAAATACTTATGTGTTTCCGTTACTTTAAAGAAGTTGTAGATTTTTTGTCCTTGAGATTGTGTAGCATACACAAACAAAAAACAAACATTGTGACCCACATCTAAATAAAGACGACATAAAATATAATACAATACAAAACAAAATGAATTAAACAACAATGAAGGAAAGGTTAGTTGCGGATCAGAAAACCTATATCGTATGATTCATTTATTTGCTTTCTCTCATCTCTAAAATGAGTGACCAACAATAACTTATTATTATTGTTAGTATTATTACATGTGTCCAGTGTTTAGCATGAGACCATGCTGTGGACTTCTCTCTGTCCCTGCTCTCGCCCGGTCTAGTGTACACTTGGCGTTTTATCAGATCTCTGCATGGTGCTCTACATGTCTCCACACATGTTAGCAGGCATGTAATGTCGTCATGTGTGAGACCGAATCCAATGTTAGAGCACAGTCGAGCTTTTCTCTGCACACAGACGGTGACAAATTAAAGGAAAACTTGAATTAGAACCAGAAGAGAAACATAACGAATGTTGAAGTTTACACACAGGACAGAGAGGTCACTGGACGGGTTGATGGGAAGTATGTCCAAGAAGTATTTAGATTCTTTCCTCGAGTAAAAGTACTGATACCACACTGTGAAAATACTCAACTAGTTAAAGTCCTGCTTTCGAAACCATACTGAAGTAAAAGTGAGTATCAGCAAAATGTACTTTTAAGTACTAAAAGTGAAAGTATTAAGAGTGCAGTAAAATGTCCTCTGTCAGTACTTCACTACTATACATTATGTTTTTGGAGTAATATTACAGCTGCATTTACATGTATGTTGCATTTTATTGGTGTAGTGCAGTAAAGGGTACCAGCACCTCATATTTGTACTTGAGAAAAAAACTCTTAGTTACATTCCACCACTGTGAATGAGGTCACTTCAGTATGATCATATGTAAAAGACGTGGTTAATAATGTTTAATGTACTAAAATACTTGTGTTTTCTTGTCTGAGTGCAGGAGCTGGAGCTGGTGGAGGATGTGTGGAGAGGAGAAGCTCAGGACCTCCTCACCCAGATCGCTCAGCTGCAGGAGGAGAACAAGTCCCTCCTCACCAACATGTCCAACAAAGACCCCCTGAGTGAGGAGGACCTGCAGAGGCACGAGGGTGAGGACAGAAGGCAGGGTTCATTACTTACCGTGCTGAAAATCATGTTGTATGTATGTTTAACAGCCCTTGAAATGGGTGCTTTTTGAGGAAAGCAGGCTTTAAAATCTTCTATAATATAAACAGGATGTTGTCTCCAGGAATAGTTTGATATGTTGGGAAATATGCTTCAGAGCTGCTTAAAATATGTTTTAATCAATTCATCATTTAAGTCATTTTCAAGCCAAAAAAATCTCTGGTTGCAGCTTTTGTAATTTTTGATGCATTCATTTTTACAACACTTAAATGTTGCAGCTGGTAAAAAGGTGGAGCTCATCTCCTTCATATACACATATCTATACATTATAAGTTATTAGTTGATGGTGTATTTTGTATTAATCTGAATTTATAACATGACTATAGCTGATTAATAAATGTAGTGGAGTAAAAAGTACCGTAATGTCCTCCAAGATGTTGTGGACTAGAAGAGTCCGTACACATGCCTAGTTTTTTGTTTTTGATGTAGATGTGCACTCAAATGCCAGAGTGACACTATCATGGCGCGTGTGCCTTCCCAAGCGCCTATTTCAACTTTCCAGTTCAGCTTTTGGGACCCAGCAGCACACACCACATATCATGTGGCAAAAACAAACCAATCACAGCCGACAGATATCTTTCCCTTCAACCGTAAATACCAGTGTGTGGTAAACATGGAGAAGAGGTTGATCATGTTAGTGCAGGGCTACCCAGAGCTTTACATCTGTCCCACACACTTATAAACAGCTGCTGGAAGAAGATCAGCTCTGCACTCAGGATTTTAGGCAAGTAGTCTGTGATATGATGCTTGTTAGGTTTACTTAGCAACCTCAGACATGACCTGCTGCTGTGCTCTTGAAAACTCTCACAGAAAAGGCACAAGAGTAACACCCAGCACCCGACCTCGTGTTTTCCAGGTGGTTAAAGACGCGGCATGTGTACGGCCCCTAATGTAGCATAGAATAGAAATGCTCAAGTGAAGTTCAAGTACCTCAAAATTGTACTCAAGCACGGTACTTAACTAAAGGTATGTAGGTACATTCCACCACTGGATGTAGCCCTTACATACATTTTTGTTTTTTAGATGAGAAAATTGATCCCACCCTCATGTCAGTGCCTTAAATATGAAGCTACAGCCAGCAGCTGGTTAGCTTAGCTTAGCTTAGCTTAGCTTAGCATAAAGACTGGGAACAGATGGAAACAGCTAGCCTGGGTCTGTCTCAAGGTAGGAAAATCAGCCTGCCAGCATCTCTGAAGTTCACTTATTAACACGATTAGTGTCTCACATACAGACATGAGGGTGGTATCAACCTTCTCGTCTGACTCTCTGAAGGAAAGCGAATCATTTCCCAAAATGTTGAACTACTCCTTTAAGTTATAAACTGAAGCTAGAAAGACTTATATTATTTGCTACCTGTTGTTTGTGTTCTGGTTTTGCAGAAAACTTTCACAAACACTCACTGTCTCACACTCTTTCCCACTCTCTCCCTCTGATATACACACACACACACACACACACACACACACAAAGGAGTCCTTCTCTTGTGTCTGATGGCGAGCCAGTCTTGTCTCTGCATCAGAGGCTCTTTAGTGGTTTCACACAGAGGACACAGTCACCCTGACACACTGTGGACAGACCAGCCTCAGTGTACAAGCACACCTGCTAGACTACACACACACACACACACACACACACTCACTCATATGCATGCATGCACACAAATCCGGGTTTCCTCTGTACAGCTGACTTTCTCTCACAATAAAAACAACTTGTCAAGAATATGTCTGATAAATATGTGTTTCCTCCTTTCTTGTTTTTGTTTGCTCGTACACTCCCCCCTCACTGTCTCGTCTCTGTGGTCTCCAGGTATGACAGAGAGAGAGAGGCAGGTGATGAAGAGGCTTAAAGAAGTGGTGGACAAGCAGAGAGACGAGATTCGAGCCAAGGACCGAGAGCTCACACTGAAAAACGAGGACATAGAAGCAGTAAGGCGACAAACAGCTGCAGGCTGTGATGTTTTCTATCAAAGCTGCAGAAGTACCCAGAGCCTAGATGATTGGTTGGTTAACAGATTAGTCGATTGACAGAACATTGATCTTTTGGTTCCAATGATTTTAAATTGTTTGGTCATTTTTTAAAGCAACAAACATTCTCTGGTCCTGACTTCTCAAATAGGAATATCTGAATACATAAATCTGTTTCTGATACAGATATTTGTGCGAATTTAATCAGATACATGTGTGCCATTGATCCTTAAAGGACACAGTGTAGGGATAATCAAAGAACATGATCTTCCTTGACACCATCAGGTGAAGCTGAGCAAAGGAATTGTCTGTAACTTTCTCGTACACTTTTGTTTTTATATAGATCAAGTTTCACAGGATAAAAAACGTAGAATTTCTCCCCTGCAGAGGGACAATACCAACGCACACCTGCTGTGTTGATTCTGCCTTTGACTCAGGAAAGTTTTTTTTGTTTTAGTTTTTACTCTTAAGTCTTAATTTGTCCCCTCAGTGGAGAATATTTCCCAGGAGTGGCCATGCCTTTGCCTGGGAACCAGACAAATCTGTGAGCTCATGACTTATTTGCTCTGGCAGATTCATCTAGTCCTACTCTGCTTTGGACAGATTTCCAGCTGAGCTAATCACAACTGTTTGTCTAATATGGAGCGTGTTTTAAATGAAGACTGTAAAGAGAAGTGTGGTTGAGGCATTTTTGGAAACAACAGATGGCTGCCGCTGATGTGGAACTTTTTGTTGATGGCACTGTTGTGTCAGTATTGAAGCAACGGGATGGTATATTTTTGCTTAAAAAAGAACAATCAGCTGCACGGTTTTTAAAGGTTTTCTTGAGCAGAAAGATGTTTGCTGCACTTTTGACAGGATTAGGCATTAGTTTAATAAACCAACTTATAATATACCAGCTCATCTCTGCAGGCGGTGGCACACTGGTGCAGTGGTTAGTGTTGTCGCCTCACAGCAAGAGGGTTCCCAGGGTGGGGAGCCCTTCTGTGTGGAGTTTGCATGTTCTCCCTGTGTCAGCGTGGGTTTCCTCCAGGTGCTCTGACATATTCTCCCTGTGTCAGCGTGGGTTTCCTCCAGGTGCTCCAGCTTCCTCCCACAGTCCAAAGACATGCAGGTTAATTGGTGACTCTAAATTGTCCGTAGGTGTGAATGTGAGTGTGAATGGTTGTCTGTCTCTATGTGTCAGCCCTGTGATAGTCTGGTGACCTGTCCAGGGTGAACCCTGCCTCTCAACCAGTGTCAGCTGGGATAGGCGCCAAGTCCGGGCCTAATGCTCTGTGAATAGCTGGTATTACTGTGCTGTGATTAATCATCTACACTGGGCGGGCCTGGTCACTGCTCTGTCACAACCCGCTGATAACGCCCCTTGAAAAATCAAAAATAAACCAATTTGCATTTGTGATTGCTCTGGCAGTGTCATGATAGACATATGTGACACTGGAATAAACATTTGGGGCGCAACACCTGGTGTTTATGTATGAAGAAAAATTCCCAAAGCAGCTTTAAAATGTTTGATGAGTTCTATATAATGGACTTTTTCTGCTGTTTTCACTTCTTCATGTTCAGTGCATATATCCCTATTTACCCACACTGCCCTGTTTCTATCCGTCTGTGTGTTTCTGCAGCTCCAGCAGCAGCAGTCTCGCCTCATGAAAATCAATCACGACCTGCGCCACAAAATCTCCGTGGTGGAGGCTCAAGGGAAAGCACTGATTGAACAGAAGGTGGAACTGGAGGCCGGGGCTCAGGCGCGGGGGCAGGAAGTCAGTGCCCTCCGGCAGGAAGTCGCACGCTTAAAGGAACGACTTCAAGGAGACCTACCCGCCCAGAACCCTGAGGAACCCCCACCTCAGCCCCCGTCACCTGCAGAGGTAACACAGCACAGGAAGCCATTGAAAGAGTTACATATGAGGTCAGAGACAGAATTTAATACAGTTTTTTAGGATGTGCCAGAAAACCCCCAGAAGAATATGTTCTAATAGATTCTAATATTCTGTGAACTTGTTGACTTTAATGAGATCTGTTGGCTGAGTATGAGTTCAGTGCATTGAGGGTTAACATAACATGCTTTTTCTCTCTTAGTCTTTATTTATTTTCTTATCTGAAAATGGTCAAACTACCAAAAAATAGTCTTAAAAAGGACAGTTTAGACATCTTGTTTGTTTGCTTTCTTGCCGAGAGCCAGGCTAGCATTTTCCCCCTCTTTCCAGTCTTTATGCTAAGCTAAGCTAACCTTCTCCTGACTCTAATGTTATATTTACTGTACAAATACAAGCATATCCACTCCCTGTATCACCAAAGTTAAAGCTGTGTGCGCATACCTAGCGTAAAGTCAAACACTTTCTCGGTCAGTGTTGGCCTCCACCAGGGTGGCCCCTTGTCACCGATCCTGTTTGAGATATTAATGGACAGGATCTTGAGGCGCAGTTTGGAGACCTCAGAATTGCATCTCTGCTTTTTGCAGATGATGTGCTTCTGTTGACTTTATTACATTGTGACCTTCAGCATGACTTGGGGCGGTATGCAGCAGAGTGTGAAGCCGTTGGGATGAGAGTAGGCACCTCCAAATCTGAGGCCAGTGGATTGGCCCCTCTGAGTTGGAAAAGAGTTACTGCAGTCAAATATCTCGGGGTCTTGTTCACGAGTGAGGGTAGAATGGAGTCTGAGATGGATCAGCGGTTTGGTGCAGCTTCTGCGGTGATGCATGCACTTGCGCCAGTCTGTCGTGGTGAAGAGGGAGCTGAGCTGGAAGGCGAAGCTTTCGATTAACTGGTCCATCTCCATCCCAACCCTCACCTATGGTCATGAGCTCTGGGTAGTGACCGAGACGAATGAGATCACAGATATAAGCGGATGAAATGAGTTTCCTCTGTAGGGTGTCTGGGCTCAGCCTTAGAGATAGGAGGAGGAGCACGAACATCTGGAGGGAGCTCGGAGTAGAGCCGCTGCTCCTTCATGTCAAAGGGGTCAGTTGAGGTGGTTCAACATCTGATCAGGATCCTCCTGGGCGCCTCCTGTTAGAGGTGGACCCAGAACACGCTGGAGGGATTACATATCTCATCTGGTCTGGGAACGCCTCGGGGTCCCCCAGGAGGAGCTGGAAAGTGTCGCTAACTCTCGGCAAGAAAGCAAATAAGAGTATTTCCAAAAACATCAAACTGTTTCTTGAAGTTTTGAGTCCTCAAACCAATAGGATAACCAATAAACTACAGGTGCATACATCACTAAAAACATCTGACAAGAAGAGGTAATAACTAGGATGCTTTGTAAACAGATATTAAAGTGTCTTTTACTCCACCAGCGTGGTAAAGCTGCTACAGTGGTGTTGGGGGCTGAGGGCTGGTCAGACACACCTGACCCCTCTGAGCTGATGTTGGGTGGGTTTGACCCTCCCCCACCACACCCCCTGCCCGGTTCCCTCAGCCCAGAGGGACACGAGGACGGGGATGAGGAGGACGAGGCGGTGTTGCTTTGGGTAATACAGAAGTGCTCGTTAGCAAACCAGAGTGTTGTGATTGTCCCGACTCTAACTCCAAACCTGCACTCCCCCTCCCAGAAGATCAACCCTATCAGTAGAAACACAGAATCAGTTGGTAGACTAACATTCGTCTGACCCATGAGGAGTGCTGAACGGCCTGGCGTGGGTGTTAAAGAACTAACAGAGTGTCAGAAGGATTTGTCGTGTCTTGGCCAACTGGGTGAGACGTCTTGGACGACTGCACCGATGACCTTTCTGAATATAGATGACCTCGACAGCTCGGCCTCTAACAGCACTTGAAGTTGTCCCTTAGTGCACCGTGATCCTGAGACACTGACAGTAGAAATGGTAGTTTAAAGTCCAACTGAAATTAATTTGTTTTTTCGCAGTACAGCATAAATATCTGCTCTGTAAATCATCTGTTCTGCTGTGAGAAAAATCACAAACCAAAAGGGAGAAATTTATATTTTATATTTTTTGGTTTCATGATGGCTCCTCCTGTTTTTGCATAATTCATCAGAATACCTTTAGTTCTGTTTCTACATATATGGAGAACATAGTCCAATCAGATAGCTTCATTTTAAACCATGTTACCATAAAGCAGTAATGTCATACTTAATTGTCAAGTTTCCACCCAAAAGGAGCTCAAATTTCAACCAAATTTCAAGGCAGTTATCAAAAAAGAAATGAATGCTTGTTTCTGTCCACCGCAGTTATGTCATATTTGGAGTCGTTTGATAGTGATAAACAGTTGGAGGAGCTTATTCTCCAGATGGTGGTATTTAACCATTGCAGCAAAAGCACAACTAGGGATGCACAACACTAGATTTTTTGCCAGTATCCGATATGCCGATATATAACAACTTATTTGGTCGATACCGATATCGGTATATCCACTTTTTCCTCACCTAATTTTAATCTCTTCTGTAGTGGAATTAACATGCTATTATACGTGCATACTCTTACCTTGACAGCCCACCAGCAGATGGAGACATGAAATACAATACTTTTCAGTGTATGTAATATTGATTCATTGTGCAAAAAAAAAAAAAAAGTTGGCCGATGCTGATAGTTCATCTTAAAGCCAATATTGACTGAAAACTGATGACGTGCTCATATTATCATGCATCCCTAGTCACATTGAGATGATGTCCAGTGTTCCCAAAAGTCCAAGAAATCTGTGAAAGTTTGTGAATTTTAGGGGGGAAAAAAATCAACGCCTTTAGCCTTTTTGAAAACAGATATGTGTCATTAAAAGTGCTCGAATTTACATATGTTGTGCACGAATAGAAATCGAAGTTCTTTTGATATCATCTGCCTGTAACACTGTAACAGGAAATTTGAGAAACAAACCTCTCTATTTTCTGTTGTCTGTAACAGCTTCTGTAAAGCCTGCTTCTTCTCTTTATAAAAATTCTTAGTAATTCAGTAACATTAATTAACCGTATTGGGTCCTTCAGTTTGAGGGAATTGAGCCCGGAAATTATTGAAAAAGTCCTTGAATTTGATGTTTAAGAAAGTGAGGGAACCCTGGACGTCATCAAAAGAGCTCCAGTCGAAGCTCAAATGGTGGAAAACATGATGGGAATATGACATTTTTGATTGTTTCGTGTAGTAGTGTGAGGAAGGTTACAGTCTCCTCATCACTCCACACAGATCTGATGATTTCAGCTCTTCACTGACCTTTAATGCAGAGTTCACACTGCACAACTTGAGCCATGATTCTCCACTCGCCTACAGTTTATGGAGCTCCCCAACAAAAAACCCAAGATCAGAAACTAATTCATGTTTGCAAATTGGCTCTTGTGTGCTATGTGTGAACTGTTCAAAGATAAAAGCAAAGATGCTTGCCAAGGCATTGCAAACACATCCCAGATGTTTAGCCGGCTAAATATTTGGACCTGTCAGGGACCTGTGATGACCTACAGCCAATGACAGGGCAAGACAAAGGTTGAGGGAAAACCTGGGGTCACCAGTCATGATAGGAACTTTACTGAATGTGTTGCATTTGCAGCATGGATAACAGTTGTTGCAACTAGAGGAAACAGGCTATTTTGTGAACACACGTGCCAGCGACAACAAAAAATCCAGTCCAGTGCAAATCCAGTGCACAGTATTACTCCATTTCCCTTGTCACTTCTCGTGTGTGTTTTTGTGACAAAATAGTAGTTTGGAGGACAGACATACTCATCTGGGATTCCTCCTGATAAAAGAGCTTGTAGTGTGTGATCCCCTGTCGACGGTAAATCATGTAGTGTAAAAAACGATGACTTCAAGACTCCTACATAAAAGACAGCAAGTCGTGCAGTGTGAGCATTACGGCGATCTGATGACTTTGAAAGTCGTATTGTGCGAATGAGACATTAGTTAAATGCTACGTATGCATTGTCATTTATTCACCAGATATGTTTCCATTGCATTTTGTCACATTTTGTCAACTTTTCCACCTCAGCCAAGCATAGAAACGTTTTTGGAGTATCTTGATTTTTTTCCCTGCATTTCCAAATAAAAACAGGCTGATGGAAATGCACTTATTAACAGTCAGACAGCAGCAGCCTGCTACACAACACATGAGCCACGGCTCTGAACAACCTGCGTAACGAAGCTTAACTTGTTGAAAAAGTGACAAATTAACAAATATTTACTGTGGAAAAGGGCTCAGTTTAGAGACCAGACCAGCACATCAAATATACCTGCAAATGTCACTTCAGTCTGCGTCTGCTACGATGCTGGTGTGATCCTTATTCCTTTGCACCCGTGATGTGTAGCCTATAAGTTTGTTTACTCTGTTTCCCGTTCCCCTGCAGGAGCTCAGCCTGTCAGCTCCTGGTGACACTTTTATTCAATATTTAAAATGTTGACAAGATATTTAATATAAGTGACATTATCTTTGACTGCATAAAGGGAAATCTAAATGTGATTTCAGTTGGACTTGTTTATAGAATACATATTAATAAGTATTATGGTTTGTTTTTTTGCTCAGTGCATGAATGACCTATGCGAGCTGCATGTGTTGTTGAAGTGTTTCAGGCGTTTTCTAACAGTGACGGTGAATGTCTCGAGTGTGCTGAGTTTAAAAAGCAGAACAGAGTTGTAGTTTAAAGGGAGGAGGGAAGGGCGAACAAATGTATTGGAACAAGGCCCGATGTCTGACTTAGAGTTCACCGTTTGCCACCAGGAGGCGATGTGCGATGAGGACATGCCTGCTGTGTTCCAATATTTTACAAAGGTATCCTCACCTCCTTCCTGCCTCCGTTCCTTCCTTCCTTCCCTTTCTCTGGTTTTGTTTCCTCCTTGTGATGCATTCATCTCTCTGCAGGAGGCGCTGTGCGAGGAGGAGGCGGGAAGCCTGGATCCAAAGGACCCCAACCGGCCCCGGTTCACCCTGCAGGAGCTGAGGGACGTCCTCCACGAGAGGAACGAGCTCAAGGCCAAAGTCTTCCTGCTGCAGGAGGAGCTGGCCTACTACAAAAGGTACTCACAGGCACATTAAGTCAATCTGAGGAGATGAAATATCATAATCACATAATTATGTCGTTGATAATACATCTGTTTTTGCAGTGATGAGATAGAAGATGAGATCGTTAGTCCTTCTCCGTCTCCGTCACCTGAGCTGAGGACTCGCTCCCGTTCTTCTGCCCAGCCAGAGTCAGGAATCAAGCGCCTGTATGTTGTGCGCACACATCACACTCACTCACACATCTGCTTGTGCAAACACTCGCACTGACTACTGTCCTTTACTGTGAGATTAGAAACACTCAGACTGCTTTGCATGTGCTGAGTAAAGGCTTATTAAACAGGTCTCTGCATGCTCAAATAGTTTCAAGGAAATGCAAATGAAATCTTGGCGCAAGCTCAAGAGCGGTAACATCTCTTCATCAGCTGCACCAGACAGCTGGGAATATTTCAGGCTTTTAACACAAGGTGTATGATAACATTTTAGTACCCTCGATTTTTCTTTCGAATTCATGATTTATTTCAACTTAAGCATTCACATAGTGCATAGTACCTTTATCCTTGTACAGATTTTTGACGAGTAAAAAAATAGGAAGACAGAGGACATAAAGGAGAAAGTCAAGAGAAGAAGAAAAAAATGTTAATAAAGAAATAGAGTAAACTTAAAAATATAAAGTGGGATAGGAATACAAGAGGGATATGGATATTAGAGCTCCTTTACTGCATTAACAAACTCATTACAGGGCTCCACCTATTTATGAAATTTGGTCTTTGCAACCTCTCATACAGTTCCTACATTTTTTAATCCAGATGTTGTACGTTGGAGGTTCAGGATTTGTAACAGACACATTTTCGCCCTTACCTCAAACTCTTCAGGGATTTCTCCGAGGAGAATCACCCTTGGATCTTTGGGGATATTTTGATGGATCACTGCTCTCAGGACATTGAACACATCCCTCCAAAAGTTGCTTAACTTGGGGCAGGACTAAAGAATATATATATTGTTTCCAGTTTGTGGGCGACATTTTCTCCAGCACTTGTCTGTTCCTTGTGGGGTCTGGAAATATCTTGTTATCACTTTCCATTTAAACTCTCACCAGATTTTGGAAGTAGTGACATGTCTGAGTTCATTTCAATCTCCCATTTCTCCTTTATTTGTAAGCTATTGTTTGGGGTATTTGAGAGGAGTACTGAGTGCACTGAAACGACTTTTCTAGCTTCATTCCCAGTTTGTATTTCTGTAAGAAGTACCCTCGATTTCAAGAAAATTTGCTTCAGTGGATATGAAACAAGGTGACTTCCTATTGAGTCATTAATAAAACGTCACCACCCATAAAAGAAATGTATTAGCACCAACTCAAGATAATACCACAGGAATATTTGTATTTCAGCTGTATCCACTATAAATATCAGAGATTATAACTGGAAACAGCTCGTACTGTGCAAACACTCCACTTCCTGTGTTTGTTTGGCATCTAAAACAGCAGCTCAGTAAAACGTGTCGAACTCTGTTGCTGCTCTGATTTATGCCAGAGATCAGAGATAAGATTTCCAACAGGAAATAAGTTAGCGAAGAGGAAGAAGACTTCTATTTTAACCGACATTCTGCTGTGATAAATAATTGCAAAGCTAACATATGATGTGATTAATCAGTCACCTGCTGAGCTGCATCAAGCAGATCTTGTCTCATTGTAGTTTCTAGATTACTGCGGAGTCTTTGGGATGTAACGTTACTGCTGGTTTTCTCTGGCGTTAATAACTATAGTAATTTCCTTAGACGTCAGCAGAGGAGCTTTTATTTGAGGTGAGGTGAGGCACCTTCACTACGAGCTACGAGCAATAGGCCCTATAAATGAGTGATCTTAGTTTGAGCAGGTCACGTTTGTAATGGTGGTCGTGGAACTTAATTTGTACGAAGCGTCTGCACATGCTCAGCAAGTCTGCATCGGTGCAGGCTGGCTGTCAGGGGGTTTTATAACTCACTTCCTCTCTTCACTAGTTGGTTTAGGATGGCACTTAGTGGTGGATCTTCCATTTGGAAGCGGAAACGGAGTGAAACTGGTATGGAGAACGTGTAGATGGCGGTTTGGGAAAGGCCCTGTGTGACAGAACAATGAAAGGATCAGTCAGGTGACCGTCAGGGAGTGATTTTAGACAGTTCCTCTAATAACTCTGCAGAAAGTCGTGCCTAACAATCAGTGTGTGTGCTGTTTCTTCTGTTTTTAATTTTCATCAGCATGTGCACAAAAGATGCTTGACTTTTCCTTCCAGCTCTCTCAGACACGCTCAGCACTCTGTGTGCATGCTTGATGGTTTGCATGATGTGGTCACGGGTCAGGTGTAGCACATGACACACACACACACTCATTTTATTTTCCCATCGACACTAAACTGAACTACAGCATGACTTTTACTGTTCCATGAGGTTTGGGTCAGAGGTCAAAGGCTGATGTGGTCCCTGTCTCCTCCCCCCTCCCCTCCTTCTCCACATATCTCTTCCTGTTTGTGCCTGTGTGTCTTTACCTCTGTGTAACAGGATCTTCACAGCCATTATGCCGATGGTGGCGGCTGGTTTGATCCCAGATGACCCCACTTTACAGCCAATCAGACGTCTCGTATCGCTTGTATGACTCTATATTTGGTTGGCTTCAGAGTCTCCTCAGCTAACAGCCTCCCTGCCCTTGCATGTGCCGGCTTTTTGACCCTATTCTTCCACCCTTGTAGTATTCTGATTGGCTGATTGTGGGGCTGTCTTGTTGTAATTGTCCAGTGGGACGATTGTGGATCAAAAAAATCAGCCAGTCAGAATTTACATGTAGTCTGTCGTCTTGTCTTTGTCCTCACTGACCACAGTAACAACATGTCTGCATCTCTAAACTCATAAAATAATTCTGTCCATATTTACAAACTAAAGCGCTTTTAGCTTTTTTTTACAATAGTTACTGATTAAACAACTTATAACAGTGAACTCATCATGTTTTATTCTTCAGTGCTGCACTGATTCGTCCACACAGAATGAGTTAATTCCAGTTATAATCTTTAAAACTTCTTGTGTTAAGCACATTAACAACAATACAATAAATGTATTAAAACACAGTTTAACTTATGTTAATGTAAATGTGCTCTGTGTAACATTTAGCATTTAATTTTGATAATTTGAGAATTTTGAAATGACCATTTGTATATCAATTAGATATTAATTATCTATTTATGTCAACACAATACATGCACAATAGCATGCACAAGGGCCTGTCATAATAGCGTGCACAGGGGCCCATTGTAACTTCATTACCCCACTGATACACTTCTAGTGGGGCGCATCACTGACCAGTTATTCATTTGGTGATGAAAGCATCAAGTTTAGTACATATATATGTTTACTTTAATATATGTTGAAGACATCTGGATATCGGGGCATAGCAGATTCACATTCTGATGACCATAGCGGCGAAATCCAATATGGTTGCAACCCGAAAACCGTTTTGGCTCTAACTTTTGAAACAAATGAGCTACACATACTGCTTGGTGTCTATCCAATGGTTTCTGACCATGAGGAACACATTGGAAGGCTTATTTTTATGATTGGATGCATCAGGACCCCTAATTTGCATATTTCCAAGATGGTGGCAACCCACCTCCACCCCAGCTCCACCTTTTTTTTTTTTTTAAAGCTGTATCTGACTTATCAATGTCATTTCTGTTTGTCATTGATGCTGCTCTGTTCTGTTCCCATGTTTTTTTTTTGGGGGGGGGGGGCGTCTTTGCTGCTGTTCTCCCCGCAAACGTCAACATCAACTTTCTTTAGCACTTACCACTCTCACCGCAGCCACCAAGCTGGACAATGGACTGCCAGACGTTGCTGGCGAATTCTGCGGGGGGTCAAAGTCTGGGCGGAAACTTTTTTCACCGCACGAAAGTTCCGCCCAGGTGTGCAAACTTCCATAAGAACCCATGAAATCAACTTTTATATTTTTCTGCGAGAATAATCCGTGCAGATATTCGCCCTCAGTGAGAATGGACTTTTAGGCTCCCATGTAGGCGCATGGAAGGGCAGAGAGGTGTGCTCTCTCTGCCTTTGGCTTTCCATGTAGGCACGTGGAAGGGCAGAGTGGGCTGTGTCTGAAATCATTCACTACTCCCTACTCACTATATAGGGAATTCCCTATATAGAGGACTATATAGTGAGCTCATTAAAACACTTTCAGACACTAATCCGTCGCGTAGTTAAGTACGTCATTACTGTCATTAAATCCACCCCCACTGCCATTTTATCACCTTCATAAATGTCTTGCGCTCGCCATAAAAAACAAACTGCAAAACAAACTGCTAAAGAAACTGCCAAAACCGGTATACTTACTTTCTTTCCTGTCCTTTTCGGTCCTTTTACAAACAACAAAACGTTGCGGAAATGCCAGCAAATGGCACCGTAGTTTTGTTCCTTCTTACAATTATCAAAATAATTTTGATAAGAAGAAAACATTACCAGAGAGAGAAGGCTGAGACGTGCTGCTCTTGCTAGACTAGCAAGACGTCGTAGAATTGTAAGTGAAAAGATTATGCTAGGCCTGTACATTTATATTTGAAATAGATACACAAACCATCATTTCTGAATTGTCAATGTAAACTTTCAGTGTCAGACCAGTGGTCAAATGACACCCCCTCCTGGGGAAAGTTAAACATGACAATTTTGTTGTTTTGTTTCACATCACATACAGCAGTGGTGTCTGCCATCTGCTACTGGCGCTACTGCAATACATCATGGTACATATTGCTTGGTTAGTGACCATCGGTTGTACACTACTTTTCGCGCTGCATTGTGGGATACTATGAGTCCACTATATAGGGTACATGAATTTACACTAAACATTCGGACAGCACTACAAAATGGCGAACACACTATTTAGTGCACTATTTAGTGAGTAGGGAGTGATTTCGGACACAGCCGTGGTGTGCTCTCTCTGCCTCAGGCTTTCCATGTAGGCGCGTGGAGGGGCAGAGAGGTTTGCTCTCTCTGCCTCAGGCTTTCCATGTAGGCATGTGGAAGGGCAGAGAGGTCCCAGGACAGAGCCATACAGCCAAACAGCAAATTGCAAATGGAAATAAAGTCTTCTTGCTTTGTCTTTCTTTGACTACAGTAGTCCTGACTGAAATCATGATTTATTTATTTTTTTAAACTCTTTTGGGAAACTTGGTGCATATTAATATTTTTAAGAGTTAGAAACACATTGGAAAACCCGGATTTATGATTCATTTTAAAGTCATATTTTATTTATGATCTCTAATTTGCATATTACCAATATGGCCGCTGTACTACTAATAAATGTGTCTCAAGAGCTCACACTTGACACTGCATTTCTTGGATCCTCAGCGATAGACTCGCAAAGTGTGAAGTCGATTGGATGAACGGTTGTCGAGAAAACTAAAGGACAGACAGACATAGAGAGACTCCTTTTACTTGAGTTCAATATCACAATTCATTTGCCAGAAATAATATTTTAACATTTTGAAATGCCATAACCGCTAACACTGCTTTACAAATGACTGATATTCACTGCACACGCTACACACATCATACATCCTACATCCATCACTAGACATCACACTAAAGCTCCTCTCTGTCTCCTCTCCTCTCTCAGGTTTAGTTTCTTCTCTCGAGACAAGCAGCGGAGCTCGCAGCGGGGCGGGCACTTTAACACCGGCCTTGGCACGTGGACGGGGAAGGACGACGTGTACACAGAACAAGCCCAGGAGGCGTTACAGCACATGTAGAGTCACCAGTCACTGGACAAAACTCTTAACACTCCCATGTCCATCACCCTGAGGCCGGCTTGTGAAGCGTCCATTTGCACACCAAAACCACCACTAGTGACTCACACTGCGACTCATAAGCTCGAGGTGAGACAGGAAGAAGAAACTCACCTTGAATGAGGCTCCAGCTTAGATAGAAGTTTATTTAAACCCCTGAGCATCATACTGTATTATCTCCGTGAGTTATGGCACATACAGACTTTAAAGATGTTAGAGAACGTGTTGGAGGAGAGGGTAAACTCAAGTCGTAGGATGGAGAGTGGAAAGTTGGTTAACGATATGTTCAGTGGGTGAAAGTGACGCCACAGATGAAGGCTCGGGACACAGAAGTTTGCTGAAAATCTCCTTTCTAAAACTCCGATTATGAAGTGTTTGCTTTTCCATAAAGACAGAATTACAGTATATAACAACCCCCATATTTAAAAAAGGCAAACTTGAAAACACACAATCACTGCAGTATTCTCAAAATGAGAGCAACACTTTTGTGTCCTGTTAATTTATTTAAATTTCCTCTTCTTTGTTGACATGAGCAGCTCGTCGGTCCGTCACCAGCACTTACAGCAAATTCAAACTTTGTAGCTCCTCATACGTAAAGAGTACAGGGCTGTGCGTATAACATGCTGCATAGAATCACAATATAAAAGATGTGTACAGAAAAATATATTGACAACACTTACAAATGCTTTTTTTATTTAAAATATACATCATCCAACATGCAGTAAGTACGGAAGATCATTTCAGCTGAGAAAAGAAAAATACATGACGAGTTATTTTGATAAAATAAAAATATTTATGTAAGTCAAAATTGAGATACTGTGTCAAAACTTTGATTTTATATTAAGAAATAGTGACTCACAATTTTGACTTAGTATCTAAACATTTTAACTTCGTTTTGAGTTCATTTCTAAAAAATTTGACCTAACTCATTTTGATCGAATAACTTATATTTTTTTGATTTAGCATCTCAAAGTTTTGACTTAGTGTCTAAAAATTTAACTTGATAACTCATCATTTTGAAGAATTTGACTTGGTCTTCAAACATTTTGACTTAACTGATAATTTTGACTCAGTATCCAAACATTTTGACTTAATAACTCATAGTTTTGACTTTGTATCTAAAGATTTTGATTTAGCAACTCAAAATTTACTTTGACTTAGTACCTGTAACAGTGACTCAATAACTCATAATTTTGATTAAGTATCTAAAAATTTTGACTTAATAACTCATAGTTTTGACTCAGTATCTAAATATTTGGACTTACTCATAATTTTGACTTAGTATCTAAAAATTTTGACCTAAGAACTAATAATTGGGAATTACTATCTAAAAAATTGGACTTAATAAGTCTTAATTTGACTTAGTATCTACACATTTTTACTTAAAAACTCATAATTTTGAAGTTAGTCATAATTTTGACTGAGAATCTAAATTTTTTTACTTAATACCTCATAATTTTGACTTTGCGTCAGGACATTGACGTAATAATTCATAGTTTTGATTTCAGAATTCATCATTTTTACCAATCTTATCATTTTGACTTAAAAACTCATAATTTCAATTTAATAACTCATTATTTTAGCCTTAGTACCAGAACATTGACCTAATAACTCATACTTTGGATTTCACAACTACAAACTTAGATTTAATAACTTTTGAATAAGTATCAAAACATTGACTTAGTAACTCATAATTTTTACTAAATATCTCATAATTTGTACCTACCACAGTCTGTGTCAAACTATGATGACTTACTGAGATTTTTAATATTAATAATAATAGTAAGTCATCATAATTTTGACCATTGATTTGTTTCATCATACATATTTTTTTTTTTAATCGTTCCTTCTTGTTTTGGTAGAAATGGTCTTCCATAGAAAATATGTGCTTCTCTTTAACTCATAGTTAATTGTTCCCTCCGTGTTAACAGCAATAGATTCAGTTTGAGTGAATTAATCCTATGTAACATCCAGAGCCACAAAGTCTGTTTTTAATCCAACAGTGCCAAAGTATTTATTGTTATAATGCATTAATTCAACCCTACAGTTTTATAATAACAGCAATCCCAGAATCACCAGCTGAACCAAAGCAGGTCATGACACATAAACAGATGCAGTATATTGAAAAACAAAAAAAATATTACTCAGCAGCTTTTAATCTTTAATGTGCTCAGATACCTCGTAACATTTAAACACTCCGAAAACAAAAACAGCAGTGTCAGTATTAAACTCCAGAAACAAGCTGCCTGTGTGAGACGTTACCTTCTGACTTATTTTCTTCTCGTGAGATTTGTGAAAAATAAGTAAAATATAGAATAAAAACAGACTAACAACAACATATCTAACTTTTAGCGCACGTCACGTAGTAAACTAAATTTAGGTTTGTTAAAAAGCTACTAGAAATCAGTGTACACGCTGACTTGTGCTTTTATGCATCATTTATACAAGGCCTAAAATATAAACAGGTTTCAAAGCTATAACGTTGAATTGCACAGCAGACGTGTAAATTCATGACGTTAAATATTCCTCAGATTGTGTTCATGAGACGTCTCAGAAGTAAGAAACGACAGAAAGTTGATAAAGCTGAAGTTTGGTTTACATTTTTTATTTTTAAAAAATGCTAATCATTGGTTGCTGCTTCTGCTTTTACAGCTCGGCTTCATGTTTAACGCTGACTGACGTCTTCGCCCTCTGAGAGCAGAGTGAATATCTGTGGTGTGATTCAGGAGTGTTTTAATATTAGTGGCACTTCTTTATCTTTATTTATGTTCACCTGGCGAGGTGGAATAAATGAATGTAAACTGACAGGAACGCTCTGATTTATGAGCGTCAGAGCAGCTTCCCCTGTTTGACGTATTACACATGTGACGAAATTATCATGTTATAGATTATATCTTAAAGTCAAAGGGATCTGCACAATTTAGGCGTGAAAAATATGGAAGCCCAGAGGACACTTTATTAAAATGATAACGTAAACTTGAAAATTAAAATGCAATCCCACAATTTTCCACATTTGTCTGTGTTATTTTAGTAAAAATAAAAATCAAAATGTAATAATTCAATTTGCATTTTCACATCTGCGTATGGGCATTCTGTGAGTGCATTAAAATGAAAATGGAAAAAAAAAGTTTGACATTTAAGTTTTAAAGATTTCACTGCTGTACAGTCAACAATATATAAATGTTAAATTAAATTTTAAAAATTTAAAATGCACTATAAACAGTATAACCTGATTTTCTATTTATACGATTCTATTTGTAAATAATTTTTATAACAATTTGAAAATAGTATTGATTATAAAACTAACTGTAAGCATAATTTATTAAGTAATACAGAAAGTAAATGGGTGAAAAACAAACCACAACAATAAAGATAAAAAACAACAATAAAACGGTTAAGAGATGTTGACAGTTATCTGCCCTCAAGACTGCACTAAGGCAAATTAAATTATAAATTAAGGATAAAAGAATAAAATAACCCAATGACAATATAATATAACAACATTAATAATTAAATTAAACATGATGAAAATAAAACAGTGTGCTAAAATTAATACAATAGATAAAAAATGAAAATGGCATTTGACATTTAATTTTCATAAAGTTAACGTGCTGTACAGTCAGATACAACTCTGAAAATTACATGTCAAATAGCTTGTTCATTTTCATTTTAATATGGTCATAGAACGCCCAAACAAGAATGAAAATTAAAATTGGTTATTTTTTTTGCTAATATAAGATACATATGTAGAGAACTTTAATGCTACTGTGGAATCACGTTTTTTAATTTTCAAGTTTGACATTATCATTTAAACAACGTCCTTCATGGGCCTCCATACAAACTGAAGCATTAAAAGGGAAATCTGGTCTGAACAAGACGACGTGTCCGAAACACTCTGCAGCTCCTCAGCTCATTATTTAAGTCAGTGCTGATCCCCATCTCTCGTGTGTTCCCTGATCCAAATGGGTATTTAAAAGATATAATGAAGGAATCAGTGCTTTATTAAATGAGCTGGCTTTTATTCAAACATGTGTCGTCAATAATAAAACTTCTGTCATGTTTGAGATGTTTGTCTGTTATTTTAAACCCACTTTCTTTTTGGGTGAGTAATTAGATTATGTTTGTTGTTGTTTTTGTCTTATTTTCCATCATAATTGCATTAAACCTCATCTGGAGACCTTTAAGCACTGAACAGGGATCAGTATTAGTTTATCCTAATCCTGTTTGCCTCATGGGACGAGGTACAGTGGAGCTGACATAAGCTCAGCGCCTAATGAGGATATCGACATTTAGTTAGAGCAGAGGGAACAAGGGATACACGGGGAGTAATGTCAGAGACAAAACATATCGACAGCCACAATCAGCAATCTCTTATGTTCATTTATATCATATTTACATCTTGTCTGCATGATCTTGCAGTGCTTTAGTCTTATCATTAAGTGCACTGTGGTCATTATCATGTCTATGAATTATATAACACACTGTGGTTTATAGGAAATGTTAGGCTACAGTGTGTATTTGGGTTGGAGGTCTGATCCTGGAGGTTATTGTGCTCGATTTTTTAAATTATTTTTAAGAAAACAATCCAAATCAGACATGTAAAATACACACAGAAAGACGTCTGAAGAGAGTGAACATGAACGCACCATCAAAACACATCTAGATTATTCTGTGAGGCACATAATTATAATTATAGATGTGTTTAACAGTCCGTCTGAGGTGGTGACGGTTTAAAAAACTGCTGAAAAGGGAAACCTGTTGTTTTCTAACTTGGTATAACTTTTTCTCAAACAAGTTTGTATTGTAAAATCAAAGTGGGGAAACACAGATAACTGTTTATTTCCAGACATAAACAGTCACATGTAGAAATATTGAGACTGAAAATTCTGTTATCATCCACGAAAACACTCACCGTTTTTTCATCTTTAAAAAATGAGTTCAGGTTTGATTTTTAAAAGGTTTTTTTCTTATTTTTGTTCACTTGTAAACATAAAACATTTGCAGACATGTTGATGTGGAACGTGTTAAACAGTTGTGCATCCAGCAGACGTGGAACAACATCATCATTCAGTTTGTTGTTTCTGACCATCTGATGAGAGTAACTCCAATAATTACTCTCTGTTTATCACTGTGTTTGGACTCTATGACACGTCCAACAGGTTGGAGGCCAGTTGGAGCATATTTGAATATTTATATTATAAATGATAATGACAGCCTCAGCTGCAAGAGTGTGCAATATTTGATTTCTGATACAACTGTGTGTGATTTTTCCCAACAATCATAATTTTGGCAGTTAGACAAGTTTATATATTAAACCCTGAAATATGTGTTAATGAAGGAACATGAACCTTTTTCTCTCTGAGTTAAATCAGCTAAAATACATTTGATTCATCTGACATTAATATGAACAACACTGTGAAGAGTTGTTAATCCTCCACAGGAATAGAGCGATGCAGAAAGTGAAGTATACTTTAAGGATTTTATTGTTGTATTAATCCTTGTAGTTAAAGCGGGGAAACCGGAGCACCCGGAGAAAACCCGTTGCCACACGTAAGATCATATTCAGTCCTGACGGCTTTTGTTTCTGTCCGTCAGGACAGAAACAAAAGCCGTGTGTCTGTCAGGACTGAATACAAACCTACGTGCTGTCCTGTGGCGTGTCGTGGCCTGAGAATGTGATGTTTCATTCTCTGTTGGCCCTCTCCTTGTACTGGCGGAGGTGTTTCGGTGTCACGAACTTCTTGAACCTCCGCCACAGAGAAACTTCCAGCTGTTGTTCAGGCACATCCTGGGGAGCGTTGTCCTCTCTGCTGTCTCCTGCTGGCTGGAGGTGGTTGGAGAGCGGCTCATAGGTGATCTGAGACATCATCTCTTGCTGCAGAGCATGGTTTATTCTCTGCTGTGCCCTCGTGGCCTCCCTCTGTGCAGTCAGTTCACAGGTCAGCTCGAGGTTGGAGCTGATCTGTTTCTGCAGCTGCTCCTTCAGCTCCTCAAGCTGAGCTGCAAACACCTCCTCCTTCTCTCTTTGCAGGCAGGTCACCTCCTTCATCTGCTGTTCTAGGGCTTGCTTATCTTCTCTAAGCCTTTCAACCAGCATCAGGTCTTTGGTGAGGGTGTCCTTCAGCTGACCCCTGACCTCCTGCAGTTTTGTCTGCAAGACGTCAGCCTGCTGCTTTTCTGCCTGAAGCTGGTCCGTCAGCTTGGTTATTTCAGCTGACTGGTCCAGCTCAGAGGGAGGTGCAGTGGAGGGCACACTTCTCAGTCTCTCTATCTCCTCCTCACACTTCAACCTCAAGCTGCGCTCCTCATGCAGCTTCCTCATTGCCTCCAGCCCCTTCTGCCTCTCGAAGTGTCTCGCTTGCTCAGCCATGAATCTCATGTGTCTCTCCTGGTTGAGCGCATAGTGTGCATGCTGCAGGCGCTGGTGAAGTGGCACAAACACAGGTGGTCCTCTGAACGGCACTGGACCATGAGGTGGAAATGGGGGTCTCCTTCGTGGAGCTCTCCTGACATTGTAAGGGAGCTCCAGACGGTCACCTGCCTCATTATGTTCCTCTGGCTTAGTGTTGAGCTCCAGAGAGTCACCTGCCTCATTATGCTCCTTCACAGTCTCAGCCTCTGGCTCAGTGGCGACCTCCTTGCCTACCTTCTGCTGGTTGGTGGTCTCAAGGCAGCTCCCACTGAGCTTGGCCAACAGCTTCTGTCTCTCCATCCTGAGGGCTCTGACCTCTGTGTCAACCCTCAGGGCCCACGCCTCTGGACTTGAGACCTCGTCCGTTGGGATGTGATCTCTGTTTGCGTCCATCTCTGAGCTGAAAGGTAATTTCAGTAGTCTCTCTGAAGATGTCTGCTGTTATCCAACCGTATGGCTCCAAATAATATCCTTGAAGCGTGTGTGTGGATAACAGCTGAATTTACAGTCGACCAGGTCTATTTACCAACTCTGAGTTTTGATGCGTGATGTCACGCTTACATCACAGTACATTTTTGCCATTAATTTCTATGCATGGCCTAAATGTGGGCGGTGTCAAACGTTAGACTCCGCCCACATTGAGGTCTAAGTTCGAAAAAAAACACTTAACTGTTGTAATGCGCATGCGCATGTTCACCGCTCCAGCTTGGACTAGTTGAACAGTACAGACGTCCCGCGGCTCACCGGGACCTGCAGACCAAGGGGAAGGAGTTGACTGAAGAAACGCGAGTCGTCACGCTGCCTACAGACTGTGTGAGTACCTGTAGTGCCGTATTTTAACAAAGCAAACCGGAAATTAGCACTATTAGTTTGGTTTGATGCCGCTCGCTCCGCCGTTGTGTCAAGATAGCACGGTGTTAGCATGCTAGCTTGTAGCACCAACAGTAAACATAAACATGCTGCCAGACTGTTTAACTTACACCACATGTGTGTATTAATGGCTCGCTCATGTGACTGGTTTCATTGCCTGTTGCTGTAGCCTGTAAAATCATTTGTTAGGCAATTTAGCCTCAGAAATAAGCTTAATAAAGGGAGGGGAGGCTACATACAGGGCTTAATAATGACAAAGCAAAGTGATGTGGAAACAAGATGTTTGACAAACAACAACAAACAATACAGAGAATGGTGCTGTGTGATATATGTTTATCCTTAGTCATGTATTTCATACTGCAATTACAGAAATTAGTTGTGCTCAAAGATATACACTCACCGGCCACTTTATTAGGGACACCTTGCTAGTACCAGGTGGGACCTCCTTTTTAATTCTTGGTGTCACAGATTCAACAAGGTGCTGGAAACATTCCTCAGAGATGTTGATCCATATTGACATGATGACATCACACAGTTGCTGCAGATTTGTCAGCTGCACATCCATGATGAGAATCTCCCGTTCCAGCACACCCCACAGGTGCTCTATTGGACTGAGATCTGGTGACTGTGGAGGCCATTGGAGTACAGTGAACTCATTGTCATGTTTGAGATGATGTGAGCTTTGTGACCAGGGGTCCGTTTCAGAAAGGAGGTTCAACAAACTCTGAGCCTAACCCTGAACTTTGAGTTGAGTAACTCTGAGGTGAGGTGATTTCAATCGGTTCAGTCAACACAAGAGTTTGTTCACTATGAGTTAAGCGCATGCACCACGACTTTAAAAAGCCATCATCAATGGAGCCCCGATACCACGATTCACCATGGCAACAAGCTACAAGAAAAGGTCTGCTTTTTCTTTACTCCTCTGGAGTTGGATATTTTAATGCGCTCATACAGCTAATTTGAAGCTGTTTTCAGGAAGAAGAGTAACACGGCTGCAGCAGCGAAGGAACGGGAGTCAGCGTGGGAGAAAATTACTGCTCGAGTCAATGCGAAAGTTTAAATTATTTTAAACATTTATGCAATCACAATATTAGGCTACAGATGCAGAACAGGTGGAATGGTGTAAAAGCTAAAATTAAGTTCACTTACATGCAATCCCACCTAATTATTTTTAAAGTGAAAATGGCTTAAATACAAGTTACTTTTAGGTGTGATTTGTTTTGACTAGAAATGAGACATTTTGACTAGAAATAAGACACATATTCTTGGTATGATTTTGAGTTTTTGCAGTGTGATGCAGTCTGACATTTTGAGACAGTCAATCTACCTGCACATTAATGCTGTGAATGGACTTCATATTCACATAGTCTAAAAGAAATTAAAATGACTAATCCCTGTCTGAGGTTGCAGCATCATGTCGTTAACTGAATATGATTTATAATCATAAATTTTAACTGATTTCTACATCATTCACCTGCAGTCCTGTGGAACTTCTCCTTGATGACCCTCACAGGTTTATGTCCAGGGAACACAACAAAAGAGTTTAACAGACGTTTCAGAGCTAGGGACAGTTTCTCACGGCTCTGCAGACAGTGGCCTTACTGATATATTCTGCATCTCCGATATTATACAGAAAACTCCTGTTTGCAAAAAACGAAGAGCAACACAAAGAATCTGGGTAGATGAAAGTACACGTCCACGGTTGGTGACGTTGGTTATGTCACGACGGATGAGGTTATGGATATGAACGCTGGACTGTGATGTGAAACTGCACCGTTCAAAAAGAAAATGTTCTGGAAATGATAATACGTCAGTTCTGGGCCTGTGAATAATCTCCCGACGAATGCGTAACTCCCTCCTCAGTAACACTGCCTCTTTGTCCACAGGGTCCTCCAAGAACGG